TGATCATGTACTTGAAGAAACAATCACGTACGCCTGCCGTGAAGGCATTAAGGGCGATCTTGTCATCTGCCTTAGCGCAACGAGAATACTCATAGCTGAAGCGACCGGCATACTCTCGTAGTGACTCGTCTGGCTTATGGCGAATAGTGTACAAGTCATCTGCATAATGCAAGTGATCGGTCTCGAAGATGTGTTGAGAGACAAACAGTTTTCTCAATTCCTCAAATGAGTCTACTGTCTCAGGTGGAAGACGGCAATACCAGTTTAAAGTTTCGCCAGAGAAGGTGGAGGGGAAGAGAAGACATCGCTCTTCGTCGGTGTGCATCCGATATGCCATGGTGGACTCAAAGAGGTTAAGGTGTTCAATTGGGTCCTCCCTTCCAGTATAGAGTTGTAAACCAAGCTTTTGTTTTGTCTTTGCTTGAAAGGGGGTGTCGAGGATCCTTCTTGTGAGAGGGCCAGGCCTGGGTTGGTTCCAGTCAGGTATCTCGACCTGACGTTCGGCCTTCAACTCGTTTACTTCCTCAATGAGCTGTAGGACAAAGGGGTCCTGAGTGGAGTCATGTACCACTGAAATTATCTTTCGTAAGTCTCCATTGCCTCTTGGAAATAGGAAAGTTTGAGCAAGGGCATGTGGTTTTTTCTTGGACTCACCGTACTGACTTATAGGGCGAGTCTGTCAGAATACCTCAGAGTCCCCCGTACCTTCATGTTCCTCTGGGACCTGTCGTTCCTTCCCTAGATTGGTAGCTAGCCTGGGTCGTGGGAGGGGACCGAGTCTTTCAGAAACCCTTGGATCATTGATCTTCAAGTATATGTGGAAGGGATTCTCTCAACGTTGCTTTAGGAAGTCTCGGCAGTCACGATAAACGGCTTTCGATCCTTCCAACCCTTATGCAAAGAGGTGTCTTCCTCAACTTCTTCTACTTCGGGTCGAAGCATCTGGGTTGAAAGAAGTCTCATGTTGATCAATGTTTTGATGATTAGCTCGCTCATCATCAGGTACGAAGGGAGGTGACCCTCCGTGTTGGGGGGCACCCAGATGATGGTTAATGTCCACAGGGGCAACAAGCTCGCGTGTTTGGGTACGCCTAGTTTCGTGGAGCGTCTCAAAGAGCTTCTCATACTGCTCCTAGAGGACCTCATTCTTCATTGTTATCTTGTTGTTCTGAGCTTCTAGCTCATCGACTTTAGCTTGAAGAGTAACCCTTTTCCCTTCCTTCTTTCGTTACTTCGCACTAGGTGCAAGAGGGGTGTCATTCTATGTACTGTGGCTTCTTTCGCTCCCCATGTTGGAGAGGGATGCCTGGTCAAAAGAGAGTGTACGAATGGTGGAAACCAGCTTGGCAAAGCTGAAGAGAGTGGGGATAAGTGACGTTCCCACAGACGGCGCCAAATGTTGATGCATAAAATCAGCGAGGACTTTGGTACAACAGAAAGTGTTAAGTTTGTGACCTTCGCTAGATTGCTCCGGTCACTAGTGTGGATAAGTAAGTAAATGGATAGGGATAGGGAAACAAACACAAGATGTACGTGGTTCACCCAGATTGGCTACGTCCACGGATTAGAGGAGTTCTCATTAATTGTGAAGGGTTTACACAAGTACATAGGTTCAAGCTCTCCTCTTGTAAGTAAAGCTTGGAGACAAAACATTCCTGGTAGTGCTTGTGATAAGATTATTGGTTATCTGGGGACATTTAAGTTTCTGGTTAGAAATTGGAATAAAGATGTGTTTGAGAATTTATTTGAAAAGAAGAAATGTCTCCTATGAGACCTAAATAAAGTTCAGCAAGAGATTATGAATGTTTCTGATCCAAGTAATCTCTTTGATAAAGAACTAGAGATAAAAAAAATTTTAAAAAAAAACAAGCTGAGTGAAGTGTTAAAGAATGAGTAAATTTTTTGGGCCCAAAAAGTTAGAACTGACTGGTTACAGCTTGGAGATAAGAACACTAAATATTTCCAAACAGTGGCCAAATAAGAAGAAGAAGAAATGAAATTAATAAAATAAAAGATAACCAAGGAAATTGGTGGTGGGAGGGTGATGGTTTGGAGAGAGTATTTGTGGATGATTTTAAAAATAGGTTATCTGCTTCTAACATGCCTTCCCCAGGAGTTTTTGATAAATTCATTGATATTATTGATCCTTGTATAAGTGCTGAGCAAAATGGCAGGTTAAATAGCCTTATCATTGAAAGTGAGGTGGTTGATGCTGTTAAAAGCATTGGTGCTTTGAAAGCACCAGGACCGGATGAAATTCATGCTTCTTTTTATCAAAACTGCTGGGATCTTGTTTGTCCCTTGGTAGTTAATTTAGTTAGGGACTTTTTCAACAATGGTTCCAGTCTTAGACTGATTAATCATACTAAAATTGCTCTTATCCCTAAAGTGGAGAACCCTGAGGTGGTTTCTAGCTTTAGACCGATTAGCCTATGTAGTGTCACATTCAAAATTATTACTAAAATATTGGTGAGTAGAATTAAGCCTTTATTAAATAGGTGCATTTCCAAGAACCAGGGAGCTTTTGCTCAGGAAGATCCATTTAGGGCTCATGAAGTGTTTTCCTCTTTTAAAGGTAAAAATGGTGCAATGGCTATTAAACTAGGCCTTGAAAAGGCCTATGATTTCCTCAGTTGGAATTATATTAAAGCTGTGCCTGTTAAATTTGGTTTTAATGATCATTGGATCAAGCTTATCATGGAATGTATTACTTCGACATCCTTCTGTATCCTTATGAGTGGTAAGTCTCATGGTTATTTTTGTCCTTCTAGAGCTATTAGGCAAGGAGACCCTCTATCTCCTTATATTTTTATCCTTTGTATGGAACCTTTGATTAGACATTTAGATAAAATTGGAGAATCTTCTAAAGTAATGTTGGCTTGTTGACTGCCCCTCGAGGTTTTAGAACTACAAATATGATGTGTGCAGACAATTGTCTAATTTTTGCAAAACCACTAGTACTGCAGCCAAGAATATTGCTAAGATGCTAGATAATTTCTCTCATGCCTCAGGTCAAAAGATAAATTTTCATAAGTCTTCTCTTTATTTTTCAAATAATACGCTTAAACATACCAAAAATGATATTGTTAATATTCTAGTGATCCAACATAAAACCATTATTGGTAGGTACCTAGGCATTCACAATATCATTTTCTGGAAGGATCAAGTTAATGCAAAGGAGCTTATAATCAAGATTAAAAATAAACTTTCTGGTTGGAAGGCAAATACCCTTTCTAAAGCTGGAAGGCTAACTCTTATAAAAGCTAATTTATTAGGTGTCCCCAACCATAGGGCTGGTTTGGTATTGCTGTGCTTTGAAAAAAAGCTGCTGTGAGAATAAGCGGTTGTGCTGTGAGAATAAACGACTGTGAAATAAATCAACAGAGTGTTTGGTAAACTTTTTTGTAAAAGTGCTTTTGGAAAAGAAAAAAAAAAGTCTGATAGTGGGTCTTTTCATTAAAGGAGCACTGTAGCTCCGTGTGCTTTGAAAAGAAGCCAGTTTTCCAAAGCTGCAAATAGCAGCTTCATCTTTTTCCTTTGATTTCAGCTTATTCTCACAGCAGCTTCCAAAATAAGCCCTTTTTTTTCAGTTTACCAAACACCTAAAACCCTCACAGCTTTTTTTCATGGGTGCTTTTTTTTTAAGCACCTCACTCCCAAACCACCCCTATGTCTTGTTTTAACTGTCCTGAGAGAAAGTTACAAATGCTATTGATAGGGAAAGCAGGAATTTTCATGGGGTAAAGATTGAAAGCTTGTCCTTGTGGCTTGGAATAAATCGTGTAGTTCTAAGGAAAAGGAAAATGGGGGATTAGGTATTAGGAAAAGTGTTCATTTTAAATCAATAAGTGTTCATTTTAAATCAATCTCTCCTCTTTAATGACTGGCTAAATGCTCTAGCTGTCAAGAGTGATGAAGGTTTATGTGATCTTAGCAAAGCTTTACTAATTTGCTGGCAAATTTGGAAAGAGAAGAATCTGGTTGTGTTCCAAATTTGGAAGAGACTTCATCATTGCCAACAGCATGGTTCCTGAAGGTTGTCATGGTATGAGGTCTCCACCGCCCTCCTCTATCCGGTTGTCCCCTCCAAATCCTGGTTTTTGTTAAACTTAATTTGATGGCTCGGTGGTGAATCAGGTGCTGCTGCTGGATTTATGATTAGCAATGAGAAAGGGAAGCCTATTATTGTGGGAGCTAGATTTATTGGTCAGAATACTATCTCTATTGCGGAATGTCTAGCTTTACGGGATAGTTTGTGGATGGCAAGGTCTAAGGTTTTGTCTCGTATTGTGGTGGATGGTGATTTGAAGCTGGTGATTGAGGCCATCCATGGAGCTTATAACCCCCCTTGGAGATGAGAAGTTATCGGTAATAGCCAAAATTTAACACCTAATTTCATAAATGTCACTTTTTCTAAAATCTTTCAAAAATAACATAAAACCCACTTAAATAGACTTAAATACCCTCAAAATTAAAACCAAATAAAATAAGGATGTAGTTGGTAATGTAATGAAAAAAAATCTGAATTGTGGCCTCTTCTAACTACATAGTTTTTCAATGAGGAAAAATAGTCAATGGCAGACAAATTGGGATCTGAGGTTAGCAATCCTTCTTAGGGCTGGTTTGGTATTGCTGTGCTTTGAAAAAAAACTGCTGTGAGAATAAGCGGCTGTGCTGTGAGAATAAGCGGCTGTGAAATAAATCAGCAGAGTGTTTGGTAAACTTTTTTGTAAAAGTGCTTTTGGAAAAAAAAGCAGTCTAATAGTAGGTCTTTTCATTAAAGAAGCACTGTAGCTCCGTGTGCTTTGAAAAAAAGCCAGTTTTCCAAAGCTGCAAATAGCAGCTTCAGCTTTTTCCTTTGATTTCAGCTTATTCTCACAGCAGCTTCCAAAATAAACCATTTTTTTTCAGTTTACCAAACACCTAAAACCCTCACAGCTTTTTTTCATGGGTGCTTTTTTTTTAAGCACCTCACTCCCAAACTAGGTCTTATATACGCATTTGATAAGGAAGATAACTTTTGGCAGCTGTACGGTGTTTTTCTACGTACCCAATGCAGATGATTGCCCTAGTCTGCTTCTAGCTAGTGAGGTAGATTAATTTACAGAACATAAATATTCATTGTTTCAAAATTTTCTTGTAAAAAATTTGGATAATTTATTCATGCTTATCTTTACTTCTGCTCCATATATGTTATAGGTGGAGCTTTCAGAACTGCAGGATCCCAATCTTGCTTCAACTATGAGAGAACAGCAACATCGAGCCTTAATTTTGGGAAAAAATTGGGTATTAATCAGCCTGTATATCTTGTTATCATTATGCAGAAAAAAATTGATTACCATATGTTTTAACTCATTTGTGCACTGAGTATGGCACAAACAAACTAGAATTGATGCGCTTGTTCAAGATGCAAATATACTAATGGAGCAAATGGAGAAACAACAATTCATTCCAGGCATCAGGAATGTCAGGAATACACTATGATTGCAATCATGCATCCCAACTTTCTTGAATTTCTTCTATATATGGATGTCGATTTTGAAGGTATTTAGGTCTATTCATGTGAGTTTTCTGTTATATTTGAAAGTTTTTATAAAAAGTAACATTTATGAAATTTGGTGTTAAATTTTGGCTATTAATGATAATTACTCCTTGGAGATTGAAGTCCATCTTGGAGGAAATTCGCTGGCTTGCTGGTTTTCTTTTAGGACATTTGTTGGAAACATGTCTTTAGGGAAGCCAAGTTTCTGGCAGATGCTATAACTAGTATCGGTTACTCTCTGTTGTTGATTTTCATGTATGGGATAGAACTCTTCCTTTGGTTACTTGTCAAGCCTTCTTGTTTGATTGTACCCAAACTGGATGCCCTAGGGCCATTTCTCTTTAATGAAGTCATTTTCTATTAAATAAATAAATAAAATAAAGAATCTGTCGTAGAGGCTTTTCTCTTTAATAAAGTTCCTTTTCTATCAAAAAATAAATAATCCGGCATGTCGGGTAGCTTTGTGTCATATTCGGTAAGGTACCTATATTTTAAGTTGTACATGTAACTGCTTTGACACATCTTGTCTTCGTGTTAATGTTTCATCAAATCGCACATATCTTGTATTAGTGTCAATTCGTAGTGTCGTGGGATGTTAATAAATTGCATGTTGCCATCCCTTGTATAACGCAGCCTTCAACGACACGTTCCTTGCAAGGGACCCGTATTCGAGATTGAATTAAAATTGGGTAGGGACAAATTCACAGTTTTAAGAGAATACAGTATTCTCGCGTTGCTCGCTTGACACAAAGCAGTAATGTTACGGTGGTTTACAAAAACAAGAGCACATATACTCCACAATCTCAGAACAATAATAGTTTCCTGTTCTACGAAAAAAATCACCCGCCAACCCGCCACTCTTAGGCCTCGAGAATTTTCGTCAAGTCTTGCCTTCTTTGAAAGAATTTCATCAACCCCTCCTTGCAATCCCTACATACGCTTTAACAAATGGACACACAGCATATCAACATCACAGGATTCTGTCCTGAAGATCCGTCATTAAATTGGACGCCAAGGAACTAAGCTTCTTCCCGGTCTCTCCCGCGATATTCGTTAAGGAAGAGAGATCCTGTTGTGCCTGGAAAGGATCACCCACCGATTAAACCCAAATTAATTAAACAAAACTCAGGATGGAAATTCAAAAGCAAAGACATACAACACAAAAAAACAACCGGCAAAGTTTATTGTCTACCAGTGCAAGGCATATACCTGAAACGACAGTCGGTTGATTAGGTCGCTTGCAGTAAGATCAATAGCTGAATTATCTCCCCTGTCACCAAATAGATCAGCGCTGGAGATGGCTGCAGAACCCTGGATGTAGAAGGACAATTGTGTTATCAACTGCTAAATTCATTCTCTTAGATTTCTCACTATCTCAGCATATCAAATATATTGGCAATTTGGTATTGACTTTCAATGCTAAAGTTTCACACAAAAGTTTTATAACTTCAAGCACTCCCAAATGTCATGTCCAGACATGAAAAATAAGCATAAGATATGTAAAAATTTAATCGAACCATGTGATCATCTACAAGAGTGGGTCATCAAAAACACAAATAGATTTCCTTTTAATGAGGAAGGGAGATCGTATAACTGGTACAGATTGCAAATTACCGGGAAGAGCCTACTAGATGGTGGATCTAAAAGGAGAAAAACAAGTCACTTTCAAGGAGAAAGTACTCAGCCAATGCACTAGAGATACAGATCAGAACGTTGACCAAATGTGGGATTCCATGGCTAGCTGTATCCAAAAAGTTGCAAAAGGGGTATTAGAAGAGGCCGTTTTGCTCCACATCAAAAGAAATCTTGATGGTGGAAGGAGAAGGTACAGGAAAAGGTTAAGGTTAAGAAAGAACATTGTAAAGCCTTACACAAGAATAGAACCGATGAAAACTTTGAGAGGTATAAAAGATCGAGGGAGGAGGCAAAGAAAGGATGAGAATGAAAATGTTTTAACTACAGAGAACGCGGTTATAGGCAGGAGAGCTTATTTTCATAATATTTTCAATGAAAGACACGAAAAGAGTACTTCTTTGGGTGAGTTGTGTAACTCAGAAGGGTGTAAAAATAACTTCTTCTATCGCCGAATCAGGAAAGAGGAAGTGGTTGTAGCTTTGAAAAAAATTAAGCATAGAAAAGATGGGTCCCGAGCGCATAAGCTCCGAATAGAAAATGTGATTATGGGACGAAGGCTCAAGGTGAAAGGGGTAAAGGAAGACTTAGGAAGACTTAAATAGAGACTTTAAAAAAAAAGACATGGAGTACTTGGAGCTAATAGAAGACTTAGCACAACACCAAGTGCAGTGGCATTCTAGGATTCAAGCAGTCGGCCCCACTTAATGGTATAAGGTTTTATTGTTGTTGTTTTTGTATTCATTTTGTTTAATAAAACGGCAAAACATGGATTCATACTACATCCAACCACTAAGTGGGATAAAGCTTTGTTGTTGTTGTTGTTATTGTAATGTAAAAGTATTTAGGCGTACCATGTGTGCTTACTCACTATCTCACTATGGTAGTTACCAATAAAAAATCTAAACTAATTTGCATCTCACAGACGCTTTAATATTCAAAAGACAATTTACTTTGGTTTTATGTTTTCCCTAGGATATATATACTATGCCAATATGAGGTCTAGCTGACCAAGAGTAGTAAGATGATAAAACTTCAACCAGAAAGAAATAAAAAAAAAACAGAGATGTGGTACCATAATTCAAAAGAAGCACATGAATATGAACATGGTATTATAATAGTGATGACACACCGAGAACTTCTGCAAGGAGGTTTGAGCATCAACATCAGCAGATCTGCTTTGGTCACCAAAAAATTGTGCGGAAGAGATAGATTTTGCATTTGTGAATTTCTTTCTTGCTTCATCAGACTCCTGAATCTGAAAAACAATAAAACCTGAATGTTTAACGAAAAAATAACATGCACAGAAATGAACACTGGTTTTCAGAGTGTTCTGAACCATGACATAACTAAGTCTTCACATGTCACAAATTTACTCTTATAGGTGTCTCTAGGAATCAATATCCAAGTGCAAAAGGCCAATTGCAAACATCCAAAAGAGCGAACAATATAAGACAATTTTTAGATTGAGGAAACCACCAACAGTATACATTCTTCTGAAGAATATATGCGTTTTAAATTTTCCTGAACAGGTTTATAGTTAACACAATCTCACAAGGCACACTTTATTTCCACATATAATATAGCAGAGCCAAGTCAGCTGGACTGGTTAGTGTCATGCGAGGATTGCATATTCCAACTGTCATAAGAAATTTATTCTGCATGTAACTCTACTATTCAATAAACAAGGACTTACCATTTGAGGTATATGGTTTGCTGCTTAAAAACAACATAGAACGGGGAATGGATAAAAAAAAGAGCACTCCTCACCAAGCATCAATGAGCCAGTTCAAGTAACATAAAGAATAATCTCATTCATCTCGTTAAAGATCATACTCTGCCTATTTGTCTTGAAATCATCTCTTACTTTTTTATCAGAATAAAAAAGAATAGATTTGTGCCTGACTATTGTTTCGCTTCGCTTCCTAGGAATATAGTGCCTGTCTATTTTCTTCTTTCCTCAACAGGATGATAGGAAAAGTTTAACCTGTCTGGTTCTCTTAAATTTATCACCCTGACACTTCTAAATCATGTCAACTCGTTGCTCCTGGTCTGATAGTGAAACATGTATCAAAGGACTTGGGCACATAAAAAATTTGCATGGTGAAACATGTATCTAAGGAATTGGGCACATGACATTTTTTAAATTGCATACGCTAAATCCACAATTTAGGGCTTGTAAGGAACCTTTATATAATAATCAAGTGACACGGAAACAGAAATAGCTCCATCACTTGTGAGGTATCTGAACTAGTTCTTGTGAGAAAACAACTTTACATGTTAATGTCGGTCATAAATAACTTACTTGAACTTTTGAGGTATTTGAACTAGTTTTCTTGGGAAAGTTACTGTCCATTCCAAAATCTGCAAAGAAATTTGATGACTTTGGTGGAGCAATATGGCTAATTACATGAGCGCCAGTGGGATTTGTCTCAGTATTTTGGACAATTTCTACATACTCAAAGCGAGATGCAAAGGATGATCCAGCTGTTGGAGTGCTGTTAGTTGAGGAAGACACTGGCAGTGGGACAACTGGATCTTCAGGTTTCTGATCGTACAGGCTTTCATTTGGCTGCATTTGATAAAGTTAAGAGAGAGGACTTCAGGTTAACATATAATCAAATAAGAAACAGATTTCAAAGATACTACTATGAATAATCTACCCCAATTTAAGTAAGCAATCACAACCTTTGTAGTAAGTTTGCGAGCACCAAGACCCCCAGTCTTCCCAATTTTCTTAGCACCACCAAGAGGCTTCTTAACAGTACTGGTAACATATGTATGGGGGGCTTTCTGGGAAGCAGCGATTTCAGGCGTTTCTTTCCTTGCTATAGAGTTCTCTTTTGGAGCTTCCTGGGTCTTAACATCAAGAATCCCATTAGATGCTTGTCCTGACTGAGATGTAACAGGTGATGGTGGAAGACCTGCCTCTTCTGCCATACTTTTGACAACTTCTTTAGAAAGTATTTGCCTATACAACTCGGCAGCTCTTGATGTATACTTAGCCTCAATTTTGCCTCCATCCGTCCATCCATGCTGCTTAAAGAAAACTTGTGCACGGTTGTTTCCCCCGAAGCTCATCGTTCTCAGCTGTTCAGGAGTCCACGAGTCTAAATTTGTAGATCTATAAAAGGTTAAAAACAAATGTAAGACACTTGTCATTGCCTTCATTGTTGATTTGACAGTTATTTTAAAGAAAAATCTAAATAAGAATGTCAATATGATAAATTATCAAATAAAATTTTGTTAAAATTTAAATAATCTAACATCAAATTGATTTCAACCTCAAATAATTGAAAAATAAACAATCTTTCAGTTTTACTTTGCATTATGAAGACAAAATATATATTAAAAAGCAACTTAGATGTAAACT